GGCTGGCTTTGGTGGGCTTCGTCGCCATAGGCTCGTGCAGCTCCGCTGCCTAGCCATTGGTTCGTTTTTAAAACACTGCACGAACCAATGGCCGTGCAGTTTCACTGTGTGAATGAAAAGGCTTCAGTTCAGGAGAAAAAAGGCTTTTTTCCCATATGCGTCTAGCAGACGCAGTACGAGTGTAGTATCGAAAGGGAACTCAAATGATGTTATTTTTCTTTTAAAAACAAAAGAAAGCATTCTTAAAGGGATAGTTCACGCAAAAATGAAAATTCTGTCATTTATTACTCACCCTCTTGCCGTTCCAAACCTGTAAGACCTTCGTATATCTTTGGAACACAAATTAAGATATTTTGATGAAATCCGAGAGCTTTCTGACCCTGCATAGACAGCAATGCAACTACCACATTTGGCCAGAAAGGTAGTAAGGACATCGTTAAAATAGTCCATGTGATACTAGTGTTTCAATCCTTAATTTTATGAAGCTATGAGAATACTTTTTGTGCTCAAAGAAAACAAAAATAACTTTATTCAACATTTTCTGCTCTTCCATGTCAGAATTCGACACGTGTTTACAACAGTACCATGACGCATATGTATTCTTGTAGCTTCATAACATTACAGTTGAACCACTGATGTCACATGGACTGTTTTATCGATGTCCTTACTACCTTTCTGGACCTGGGAACATATCAGTTGCTTTGCCGTCTATGCAGGGTCAGAAAGCTCTCGGATTTTATCTAAAATGTCTTAATTTGTGTTCCGAAGATTTAGGGTTTAGAACGACATGAGGGTGAGCAATTAATGACAGAATTTTCATTTTTGGGTGAACTATCCCTTTAGTGCAATCAAAACTTTCATCTGATCAACTAGATAAGCATGCAGTTATTAGGTTATTAGGACTTCCGAAGATGAACTTACAGGTTTGCAACGACATGAGGGTGAGTAATTAATGACAGAATTTTCATTTTTGGGTGAACTATCCCTTTAAAGAATCATTATGACGTTTTATCTCATTGACATTTTCAGATGTAGTTCTTTATTAGTACATGCATTCTGAGCACGTCCAAACTGTAGCTCTTTATCAGTGTTCTGCTATAAAAGGATAGTGAATCATCTGAAATAGTGAGAAAGTGAGAGTGGTTTCTGCTGGCAAAAGCAAACGACTACTCTTCTGCTTTTCTCACAAAAGCACAGGGTGGGGGCACAGAAGAAGTTGTTGAAGGAGTGAGAAGGAAAGAGATTTATTCCAAATTAGTGGTTATAGTTCTTTAGTCCCAAAAATGAGTTAAAGGGTTAGTTCACTCAAAAATGAAAATTAGCCCATGTTTTACTCCCCCTCAAGTCATCCACCCAGAACAGCTTCGGTGTACGACAGTTAACAGAAGTGAGAGAAATTTGTTTATAAGGTTTTAAATATGGATTTGTTTCTTACAAAAACGCATTGATTCTCTACAGGAGGCCTTTATTCACCCCCCGGAGCCATGTGAGGCACGTTTTATTATGGATGGGTGCATTTTATTTGACTACTTTTGGACTGTTGAAAAAAAACACTCACCCACTGCCATTATAAAGCTTGGAAGAGCAAGGATAATTTTTAATATTACTCCGATTGGATTCATCTGAAAGAAAAAAGTCATATACAACTAGGATGCTTTGAGGGTGAATAAAACATGGGCTTTTTAGGGATAGTTCACCCAAAAATTAAAATTCTGTCATCAATTACTTACCCTCATGTTGTTCCAAACCTGTAAGACCTTTGTTCATCTTTGGAACACAAATTAAGATATTTTTGATGAAATCCAAGAGCTCTCTAACCCTGCAATGCAACTGAAATGTTCCCAGACCCAAAAACATTGTAAGGACATCGGTAAAACAGAATTGTTGAATAAAGTCGCTATTTTTGTTTTCTTTGCACACAAAAAGTATTCTCGTAGATTTGTAAAATTACGGTTGAACCACTGATGTCACATGGACTGTTTTATCGATGTCCTTACTACGTTTCTGGGCCTGGCAACATTTCATTTGCATTGCTGTCTATGCAGGGTCAGAGAGCTCTCGGATTTCATAAAAAATATCTTAATTTGTGTTCCGAAGATGAATGAAGGTCTTACGGGTTTAGAACAACATGAGGGTGAGTAATTAACGACAGAATTAAAATTTTTGGGTGAACTATCCCTTTAATGCAATCAAAACCTTCATCTGATCAACAAGATAAGCATGCAGTTATTAGGACTTTAATGGATGTTTCTTTAACAACGTGCCCTTTTATGTCTCAGGAGTTGAACTGAAACATTTTAATGTACATTCATAATATATATATTTGCTACTTTTCAAATTACTTTTATTTATAGATTTTTTACATGTACAAAAGGTGCAAAACTTGCTGGGGCAGTACCCTTTCAAAAGGTACTAATATGTACACTTGAGGTACTAAAATATATATTTAAAGAGCTAATATGTACCTTTAAGGTACACTAATATGTACCAGTTAAGTGTAAATAAGGTAAAAAGATGTAGGGATACCTTAGGGTATCACCCCAGTGACTGCTTTGTACTTTTTTCCTGAGAGTGTATAGTTTCAGGAACTCCCATATGTGAAGGTGAGCCCCTGCATGGTATTGAATGGTTGTGTTATGGTTGGCAGCTTAATGTGGAATAAGCAACTGGCGATGAATGATGTTGCTGGGCAGACAGACACTTGGCTCTGTGAGACAGCAGGGTCGATCTGTAAAGCCTCTGGGTTTTACACCATCACTAAGACCTTGAGTGAGACACGAGGCATTGTCTGTAGGTGTCAAAAGAGCAGCCTGCTCATTATTCACCATGTTCCGACTTTGCTTCAGGATTACTCTGCTGTCATGGGTCACTTTTCTTTTTCCCTTCCTGTCAGTCGATTTTTTCCACAAAGCATTCTCGACTGCTGGACATACATATACTATGCATTCATAGTATTGGTATCTGGTACAAATTGAGTGTTTATGGAATATTGGCATTTAGCAAGTTTCCCTTTTGGCTGTGAACCAGATCGCTTCTGCGTCACGCGTATTGTTTTGTAGGCTGAGGGAAAGTTAGCAGATAATAGTCTGACAAGCTGAAAGATGTTAAAATCTGCTTTTGAAGTTAACTTTATTGTGTTTTATTGATTTTAGGGGTCAAAACTAATTATACAACATTATGTTGACTTACAACAGTCTTTGGCTGCTGATGTGATATGCGGTAGGCCTGAGCATTTTTCAATACTCCGGCATTAGCCACACACAGAGAGCAGCTGTCGGATACACTTTCCTGACATATGATTACATGAAATAAACCAGATCAAAGAACAAAAGTCATAGAGAAGATGTTGAGCATAAATCTAGCAGATGAAGAGTTGACCAGGGGAGTGAGGGCTTTCATTTTATCATTATCATCTCCCGATTTAGAGCCGTCTCACATGAATCATCTGGGCTTTTTAGGTTGTGTTGTGTTCAAGACTTTTATTATTTAAATTGCTCAAAAATATGTTCAGAATTTTGGGGTTAGTATGTTTTTTTTTGTTTTTTTTTTAAGAATACTTTTATTCAGTGAGCATGCATTAAATTGTTTAAAAGTGACAGTAAAGACATTTATAATGTTACATACGATTTTTATTTCAAATAAATGCTGTTGTTTCTACTTTCTATTCATCAAAGAATCCTAAAAAATTTATCACAATTTCTACAAAAATATAATTTAGCACAACAAATCAAATCAGCATATTAGAATGATTTGTGAAGGATCATGTGACACTGAAGACTGAGGTAATGGCTGCTGAAAATTCAGCTTTATCATCACAGGAATAAATTACATTTTAAAATATATTAAAATAGAAAAGTTATTTTCAAATGTAATTATATTTCACCATTTTTCTGTATTTTTGATCAAATAAATGCACCTTTGGTGAACATAAGAATCTTACGGTTCATAAAAAATCTTACCGTCCCTAAACGTTTGTGCAGTAGTGTAAACCAAAAATATCAAAATATGACTCATTTTATCTCTTTCTTTAAGGTTCAGACCACATTCGAGATAAAGACGGCCTGTGGTCAGTTCTGGTATGGTTGTCCATCCTGGCAGTGCGTAAGCAGGGGGTGGAAGAAATAGTGAGAGATCACTGGGCCAAAATGGGACGCAACTACTTCTGCAGGTGAGCTAAACCCAAAACAGCATCTTCCCAAGGTTCATTTCTATCATCAGTCTTCATATCTCTTGTGACATTTCAGGATATTTCTTTGTGTCTTTACTTACAGTACCCACCCTCTCAATGACTTTTCCTATGAGACAGAGTAGAGTAGGCAGAATTGTTTTTGCCTTTCCCATATTCACCATATTTAGCTCTACTTGTAGATGTCATGTGAAAATCCTGGGAGCTCTCCAAATTGTCATGAAACCGTGATTTAGCAGTGTAGGTACTATTACGTTATGTTTGTAATCTTTCATTTACATTGACCTAATATAGTGTTTGTTGTATTTATTTTCTATCTGACAGGTTTGACTATGAAGGGGTGGACAGCAGGGCAGCGTATTACCTCATGAGAGATCTGGAAGCTGTTATCATTGATAAAGCGTTTACCACTCAGAAGTTTTCTGTGGGCAATAACATCTACAGTGTGGAGAAGGCTGATAATTTTGAGTACACTGACCCAGCGGACGGCAGTGTGTCCAGGAAACAGGTCAGTTCAACTCTTCGAGAGAACATGAGAGATGACCTGTCAAATTGCAGTCACACTAGAGTAGACTTTCTGCTAAATTAATGTCCATTCATACGCATTCAATTAGGAGACAGAAAATGCTCCTTTATTTTATGTTGCTTCACAACAGCAAAATATTGTGTTGCTAAATAGTTTTACAGTGCATTTTCAACATGTTTTCTGCTGGGTTCAGCACGTGTTGGTAAGATTTTGTTAATGTTATGCTCACCAATTAAGGCTACATTTATTTGATCAGAAATACAGTAAAACAGTAATATTGTGAAATATTATTATTTAAAATAACTGTTTTATATTTGAATATATTTTGAAATATAATTTATTCCTGTAATGGCAAAGCTGAATTTTCAGCATCGTTACTCCAGTCTTCAGTGTCACATGATCCTTTAGAAATCAGTTTTATATGCTGATTTGGTGCTCAAGAAACATTTCTTATTATTATCAATGTTGAAATCAGTTGTGCTGCTTAATAGTTTTGGGAAAAACTGTGGTACATTATTTTAGGAATTATTTGATGAATGGAAAGTTCAAAAGAGCAGCATTTACATGGAATATAAATCTGTTGTAACATTATAAATGTCTTTACTGTCACTTTTGATACATTGAATGCATCCTTGCTAAACAAAAGTATTGCTTTCTTTGGGGGAAAAATCAACTGTTTTAGATGATACAAGTGAATTTAGGCAACTTTATAATGTGCAGTATAAAATGGATGTTCATTTTGAGATTTACATTTAACAGTGTTATTAAATTATTATTGTTTTTTTTTTTTTAAATGAACTTTAAGTGAGCGTTTAATGATGGCAAAGGTCATCTAGATTAAAAAAATTATATTGTACTGCATTGTATTGTATTATGGCGAGAAGAGACGAGAGCCAAACTACGAACATGATCATGCTTTAAACTGCCCGAACAAAAGAAAATGAATCTTTACAACATGTGTGTTTAATTAATTTGAAATGAACCGTGTAAATACTTGTGATTTGGAGATGAAAACAAATGTGCGCATTGGTCCCTAGTGCACCTTATTCATCTGAGATAATGGGGAAATGTCAGAGATTTTGCAGCTTAGTCGCTCATATAAAGAGCTGCCAGGGGTTTGTTGAGCATTAAGGTTTTATGCTCAGCAATTATACGCTATTTAGTACGGCACGCGTCCTGTTGTGCACACGGACTCGAGTGGGATTCCTTGTTTGGGCATCTAAATTCACACTTAGCTCCTTATGTGTGTACGGTATATACGGCATGACTGAAATGAACAATATACACGTGCCGAGACTCTGTTAAAATTTTCATTCAGCTGCTCTCTCTCTCTCACTCCTTTTTTGGAGGATGTGCTAAAGCACAGAGACGCACATGTGCTTGATAGTAACGGGAGAAGGATGTTTCAGTAGATGCTTTATCTTTATCTGGCCTGGATTTGCTGTACCAAGATGCAGAGCCCTTTAGTGGTCTGTCGCACACACATAAACACTTGCATAGCCTTGTGTTTGAAGTTTACCCAGCTGACTCACTCTGTTCTGACCTGGAATTTGTGGAAACCACCTTTTCCCTCTCCAGAACAATCTCTCCGAAGACAAAGATGATGTAGTTGTGGCATCTACCAGCAGGGGGTTACTGGATGCTAACCAGCCGAACCTTGACCTCTTGACATTAGCCTGACACTTTACCCTTTGCGTTTCGACACCTCATCTACTTCTCATCTCATTTATATCTCAGGGTGGCAATCGTTGTTATACATTACCATTCAGAAGCTGTGGGGTCAGAAATTAATACTTTGATTCAGCAAAGACCCAATAAACTAGCCAAAATTGACAGTATATTTATTTATTTACTTACTTTTGTTTTAAATAAATGCTCTCTTTTGAACTTTCCATTCATCAAAAAATCCTGAAAAAAATTACGGTTTACACAAAAATATTAAGCAGCACAACCATTTTCAACATTGATATTAATGAATGGTTCTTGAGCAGCAAATTAGAATGATTTCTGAGGGATCATATATGACACTGAAGACTGAAGTAATGCTGCTGAAAATTCTGCTTTGCCAGAACAGGAGTAAAGTACATTTTAAAATATATTCAAATAGAAAGCATTTCTTTTCAATTGGAATATTATTTCACAATATTTTTGATCAAATATGTGCCGTATTTGTGAGCATAAGAGACACTGTACATTTCAGATTCATTTCTTCTTTATGAGCCTCATGATTTGGTGTGATTTGACACTGGTGACATGGGGTCACGGCCTGTCGCTCAGTCAGTGATCTCCCACCGACCGTGACCGTCACTTCAGTCATCCGGCCAGTGTCTCCACAGCTGAGTGTGTATTATTACAACAGACATTCCTCCCAGTGTCGGATTGTGTCAGCTGTCCCGGTCCTCCTCTCTGCGTGTCTGCGGGGGCCCACCGAAGAGACACTCAGCTGTCGGAGACCATGACACACGCAGACTCACACCAACACAGATATTACATCTATAACAGTGGTTCTGGTTTTGATTTGGGGCCCAGATTTTAAATTAGACATCAACACTGGGTGTCCATAAAATTCCAATTAAAATGTATTACTTTTTAATAGTGAATAGTGTGATTAATAAGCACAATAAATAGGCAAAAAAATTTAACATGACCTAGGTGTAAACAGAAAAAATACAATTTATGTAAATGTATTGTAAATGTACATATATTTGTAAATAGTTATGTAATCCCAATAATTCACTGTTATCAGCACAAACTATGTTGCTCCTGAATCCTGAAAGTATTTTTGAGGATGAGTGCATGTCTTTTCCATCTACCTAATTTGGGCAGGTGCTTTCAAATGGCAGATGAATTTCTTCAAAATACTGTCAAGTTTGATTGGATGAACAGCCTTTGATGTCAGCAACATAAGATATGGGATGTTTTTTTCTCTTTTTCTTTTAAAGCGTGGTCAAGGGAGAAACTTTGTGGTACAAGCCAAACTTTTTTTAAGCAACTATGAACTAAACTAATCTAAATTTGATCTAATATTTACTGTCACTGGACTGCTGACCAGTTTTCTGATAGAGTTTGGCTCAGAATAGAGTTTTTCATGACATCTAGTGGATAGTTTTATGAATTACAAGGGAAATCCAAGTAGTAAAACCAGCCTAGATTTTCATAAATGTCCATTTTAAAAGAGCCGTAACATGAATGTGCCAAGTTGAGGGTTCAACGTTTTCACAGTTTATTTGTGCTTCACATCCCAAATGTTTTTTGAAATTATATTGTGGTATAGCATACTAGTTAATGTTTTGGGCTGGTAACTGAAGGTTGTAGGTTCAAGGAACTCAATGATCAATCAGAATTGTTGGCACTAAAATGAACTGTATTTCTGTTTCTGCACTTGTCCTGCAGGGCCTAAGGATCATCTTCACAGACTCGTCCCGAATCATCTTCCGGCTCAGTGGTTCTGGTGCTGGAACCGGGGCCACTGTTCGCATCTATGCCGAGATCTACGAGAGAGACCCAGAGAGACACAACAGAGAGACTCAGGTGAACACTTCACTTTAGCTATTCAAATAAATTTACCTCAAAAGTCGGGTGTCGGAGCTGGTAATGACGTCACAGTATAGAAGTCAGAAAACCAAGATGGACGTGTCCATTGTTAGCAATACCAGTCGATTAAAAACACATAAAAAGCAGTATTTTGCACAGATAATGCCATAGTATCATGTCCATAAATAGAGTTTGGATAGCACTGTGTGCACCACTGAGTTTATTGAGACACAGACAAACATATTCAGTCTGTGTGCATTTAATTTATTTAATACACGAGTTTCACAATTTGAGTTGAATTACTGAAATAAATGAACTTTTCCACGACATTCTAATTTATTGAGATGCACCTGTATTACTACTGTTTCTCTTTTGCTGATGCACAGAGCAGCCATATTGGATTCTGAAGTTGGAGTTCTTGTGATTCCTATGAGATTCCAAGTCAGAACTCCCACTTGGGAGGGTGTTCCAGTTAAAAGTCCTACTGGGAACTCGGAATTTCCAACTTCCAAGTACAAATGGAATCTGGCATAAATGTGCTTAGCTAGCTATAGTTTAGTTATACAATGATAACAAAAGCACACTTCTTAATTGTAAGAGTTAACTTGCTTGTATATAGTAATATGTTTGGAGAAAAATCTGTTATTGACAACTTTTGCCACATATGAGTTATTGATAATTTACTTTGTTTGTGTTTTGCTTGTATACGAGTAATATGTCATCTACTGCATGTGAAGAAATTAATTTATTATTGTTATCATTCATATGTCCTCATGCCTTGTTACCAGCTTCTGAATTACATCAGTCCAGTCAAACAAAGATGTCATAGCCATGACCATTATTGTTCTAAAGATCATGAAAAGAATAATATTTCAGGTTCAGTACAAGTTTAGCTCAATCAACACATTTTTGATTTATGGAATCAAAAATAGTTTGATTCATCCCTCGATTTCTAAAAAAAAAAGTAAAAATCAAAGTTACAGTGAGACACTTACAATAGATGTGAATAGGGACCAGTTTTGTTGGTTTTAAAGGTGTCCTATTATGCTTTTTCACTTTTTGAATTTTAGTCAGTGTGTAGCGTGTATGTTTGGGCATAAAAAAGATCTACAAACTTACAAATCTCAAAGTCCACTCTAAAGGGAGATATTTAGTTTTTTAAAATAATCAGATTCAATGATCTATGCTAAGCTACAGCTAAAAGTGCTACCGCCAGACCCAGAGATCGGCTGAATAAATTAGAAATGTTAAAACTCAACTGTTTAACTCTAGGGGAGTTGGAAAATGAGCCTATTTTCACAAATAGTGGAGTGTTCCTTTAACTAAACTTGTGAAATGTGAAGCTTATACTTTTATAAAAACACTTACATTATTCTGTTAATAAATATGTTAAGGCAAAAAAAAAATTTTAATTGGATATAACGTTATAGAGAAAAGTTTGAGTATTTCTTTGACTATTAAGTCATGTTAACATGCATATTTTGTTTACATCTTGTGGCTATACTGTTGAAACGGTGAGTATTTTAATTTTTAATGTTTGTGGATTTACCTGATTCACTTTGTTTATATATAAATTATTATTTTTTTTTTAAGAAGAGGGATATATGGACTTGTATTTTTGTGGTAATCAAATGTTGTCGATTCAGAATTATTCCTTTAATGCAATTTGCCATTGTATTACATTTGTTTCATGATACTGGCAGTCTGTTTAATATTTCCTCACTCTTTCTTTTGACCATTGTAGGTTGTGCTGGGTCCTCTCATTGCCATTGCTCTGAAAATCTCCAACATCCACGAAAGAACTGGACACAGAGGCCCCAATGTGATCACCTGAGACCAATCCAGCACAGCACATCAGGGGCCAAAATCACTTTCCTCACTCATCTGATCCTTTTTTTAAATTTGTGCCTTTCACTCAGCATCACAAAGAATGTGCCAACTATTCATTTTGCTGCTCTTTTATCATTTCTCTCATCTCCTCTCCTCTCCTCGTTATCTTGTTTTTCTTCTTCATTTGTCTTTACAAGGGCCCCTGTATGGTATTCTTTTCTTTTGCACATGTATAAACTCATGTAAACCACTAAAAAATCCAAAGGGAGCAAAGTGATTTCTTCATGTTCAAGCAAATGCTCCTTTAATGTGTTTAATTCAATGAGAATGAGGTTAGAAGCAGAACATATGTAGACCACTCTGTGTTTTTGATTCAGATGCATGGGGTTTAAACCCTACACCATGTGAATTTGGTAACTGTGTGCTTTTGTTTACAATGTAGCTGTTACAAAGAAACGTATTCAAAACAATCAATGAAAAGAGGGAGCAATGCCGTTCAAAATGTACTTATTTCTGTGAAATTCACATTAGAAACACATCATATTCTATGCAACAGCTTGAACTGAGCTCATGTCCAAGAATGAACCAATAAAATAATAATCATAAACATTGCCTATAAACAGTTGTGCTACAATTCCTACATCCAGTCTTGTAAGCACTTACACTGATTTGCAATTTTCTGATCACTTTCTGAAATGTGCTGCAAATGAACTTTGTGAATAAAAGTATGAAATGAGTTAAAGGAAATTTTTCACTTTTGGCTAGCAACTCGGCTTAAATAATGCATAGTACTTTTTTATCTTTTATTTTAAAATCCTGCATGAATAAGTTTGTTTCATGTCAGATGGATTATGTGCATTCCATTATTTGATAAGAAACTTGCCTCTAAGTTTATTATTATTTATATTATTATTATTATATAACACTTCTGACATTTACAATACATTTCTTTGAGCCAGTGTTTAAGATATTTCCAAGGATTTTTCAAAATTCTGCTGTTCTTAGAAGTCCCTTATAAACCGTGTACACATAACAATGACTCCAAGGTGAAAAACAAATGCTCCCTTTTAAATACTATTTTGATGGAAAAAAGAATGAAACGAAATAAATACAATGACCTTAAAAATTGCATAAATAAACTTTTATCTTTTGTGTGTCCTGGCTTCTTGTTATTGTCATACAATCAGTGAGATCAAAGACTCATACATGTTGTACATGTCCATCTTCTGTCATTTCATTTCAGAGAATTTATTAAAGAATAAATAAATTCATGGATTTGACAATATAATTACAATGACTAAAACATAACATGTCTAATAGTAAGTTTTTTTTCCTTCTTTCTGCTCATCAAGGCCATGTCTACTTCATCAGTACAGTAAAAAGTGCAATATTGTAAAATATTATTCCAATTTAAAATAACTTTTTTTTTTATTTTAATATATTTTAAAGTGTCATTTTTTCCTGTAATGGCAAAGCTTAATTTTCAGTAGCCATTGCCTCAGTCTTCAGTGTCAAAAAGGTATGAAAGCTGTCACTGAAGCATACTGTATAACATTATGGTAATAATATGTACCTTTAGGCTTTAAGGTACCTATATGCACTCTTTAAGGGTAAATAAGATGTGTACCTTTTGAAATGGTACTGCCCCAGTGACAACTGCTGTACCTTTTTACCTGAGTGCGTGATCTTTCAGAAATCTTTCTAATATGCTGATTTGCTACTTAACATTTCTTATTATTATCAATGTTGAAAACAGTTGCGCTGCTTAATATTTTTCCGTGATACATTTTTCAGTGTTCTTTGACCCTTTAAAATAACTGCATATAGCCTATTTGAAATAATTTTTAACATTATAAATGCCTTTACTGTCAATTGCTGAATAAATGTATTAATTTCCTGCAAAAAGGATAGCTTTATTTCTCACTCACTCACTTTTATTTATTTATTTAGGCCTTTTGAGAGGTGAGGTGGAAATATGACGTCAAAACGATCAAACTGCTGTTCTATACAGAAACGCTAGATGGAGACAAGTTCACATGACAGACGCTACAAAATGCCACAGAAGTTCACAATCATACTGTCAGGTGTATTTACAATAGAACAAGTTTAAACATTTTACAGAAGTGACATTTTTCAGAAATACTGACAGGGTCTTAAAATGTGAGGTAACTAATATCTGGTGTGCAATTAAAATGACAAAACAATCATATGTTTGTAATAAATTCGATAGGCTACGATGATGACGAATTTCTCTGTGAATTCGCTTTGGCGGTTGCAGTGACGAGTAAACAGATAGAGGAGTGGAAAATAAGCTAAGCGTCGCAAACGGTTTTTGCGCGATTTCTTTTTCTTTGTTCCTGAATAACCGAGTCTGTGTCTTTAAACTGAGATTGTCTGTGCAGTCGCTATTTATCATGTACTCATCTAGTCCCACCTCTTCCTGCAGCAGCGCTGAGTGCGAGAGAGAGACTGAGAGAGCAGATACAGTCAGATCATATGGAGTGACGGGCAGCGATGCCAGTGGAAACCCTGCAAGAGTACAGCGTATACCTGAGAAATACGGACGTCTGAGAGAATAGCAGGACGAACTTCTTCGGATACATCACTGAAATTTGCTAAAAATCAGATTTCATCAACTAACATTAAGGTGAAGTGAATTTTGCAGGCGAACCTGTGTTTACAATGGATTCTCAGTCATCATTTGCCATTTAAATGGCATGAAACGCGGTTGTCAATAGATGTTTGAAGTGCACATGGATGTTTCAGCTCTGCTCTTTTGTCTTTATGGAGAACATTGTGTGTCTGTACAAGATCAGCTGAGTGAGTGTTTATCAGATGTTGAGATGATGTTCTCAGGACAAGTTCATTTGTCGGATATGAAGTTATAAATCAGCGTGGCTTTGGGTGTATTTTCTTACAAACAAGTGAATTTTAACATGTAATTTGTTTCCAATTAAAAAAGTAAACCAGCAGTAAGCAATCATGGTAGAACCTGTTGGCTTTGTGGAAGCGTGGAAAGCTCAGTTCCCTGACTCAGATCCTCCTGAGATGTCTTTGAACTCTGTTGGAGACATAGAGCCGGAGCTGGAGAAATGCAGAAACTCTATTAGGCGTCTGGAGATGGAAGTGAACAAGGAGCGCTTTCGAATGATCTACCTACAAACGCTTCTGGCCAAGGAGCGGAGAAGCCATGACTCTCAGAGATGGGGTTTCAGTAGGGTCTCACAAGGTGAGCGTAAGCCAGCGTCCTTGGACGCCCATCATCAGAAATCTGATGGAAGCAGGTGTCTCCCAGCCAAACTGAAGCACACAACCGCAGCAGAGGACAGCCATGAGTCTCAGCCTTGTGTTGAGGTGGTGGGATGTGATGTCTCGGACTTGGACAGGCAGAAAAACAGAGATGGAGAAGTTGACGGGATGTCTCCATACAAAAGAAGGAGCGTTGAAGCTCCACTCAGGCCCATTGCTGGACGTGGACTTGCGCACCATGAGACGGATGTTGTTCCAGAGTCTCCACCAAAGGAGAAGGTCACCACGGGGTTGGGAGTCGCCGCGCTTCGGTCAAACTTTGAACGTATCAGAAGAGCCAATTCTCAAACATCTGGCGAGGGGAAAAGTGAGAGGCCTTACTACGTCAACATGGAGTACCACCACGAGAAAGGTCTTGTTCGGGTCAATGATAGAGACGTCTCAGGGAAGATAAGTAGTCTGGGCAGTCAAGCTATGCAGATGGAGCACAAGAGATCTTTGCATTCTGTCCCAGGTAATCTGTCCACTGCTTTTGGGGACATCCGTAAACCAGAGCGGTCTCATGAAAGAGCCATGGACAGTGGTTACAACTGTGAGTACGAGGAGCCTGATCTAAACCCTGGGTTTGTCAAGGACAGTTCAGTAAGACTTAATGGAAGAAGAGCACCTCAGCAGAACTGGCACCAGTCAGACTGTCAGCCGTATACGACTGTTTATGTGGGGGGCATTATGGGAGACGGAGAGGACCTGCACTTGACCTGGCCCAGGCGGTCTTACTCGCCTGGAAGTTTTGAGGATGGATACACGCCGGATTGCAGCTCCAATGAAAACCTGACATCCAGCGAAGAAGACTTCTCCTCAGGGCAGTCCAGCCATGTGTCCCCGAGCCCCACCGCCTACCGAATGTACAGAGAGAAGAGTCGCTCTCCATCCCAGCACTCCCAGCAGTCTTTTGAAAGTGGCAGCCCCCCTACCCCACAGTCCCAAATGCGTCTCAAGCAACAGCTAGCGCTCTCCGACGCCAATGTTGTTGGTGTCCGCAAGATCTGGCCTGCTGATGGAGGCTCCAACAACTTCAGCAACAGTTTCCTTGGAGATCTGGGTAAGACAACATTCTTGCAGTGTTTACTTTTGTAACTTTACTTTTGTCTGTTTGGTGGCACGTTGATAGGATTTCACTGTCCCACAGTGAGAGTATAATAATAAGAAAAGGCACAAAGATCCATTATAATGACATTTTTGGCCAATTATTTGTCTTTTATAGGTCTTGTTGCAACCTATTTAACATTTTCAAACTTTTTGACACCAAGTAGTTACAATTATGATGACCTCCTTGTGATTATTTATACACAATATATATGGCATGTGTATACATTTCATGCATAAAGACCCATTTATATTGTGTGAGGAAAACTATTGAAGAATAGTTTTGCCTTGAAAAAGAGTTTTTATGTTGTCACTGCACTAAATCCTAAACAAATTAAGATATTATCTAGAAAATGTGTACTTTGTATTAACTGTTATTTAAAATATTAAAGGGGTCCTATTATGCTTTTTCACTTTTTGAATTTTAGTCCGTGTGTATGTTTGGGCATAAAAAAGATCTACAAAGTTACATATCTCAAAATCCACTCCAAAGGGAGATATTTTGCTTTTTAAAAATCCCTTTTCAAGAACTACAACGAACGGCTCGTTTGGACTACAGCGTTGTTTTCAGGGTTTTATGATATCATAAAGCGGCCCATTAAAATATCATTAAAATAATTCCCGCCTACGGAAATTCGAAGGTTGGGGGGTGGGGAGGGGCGAGCTCGTGGTTAGAACAAAGCCACTAGAAGGCAAGCCTGCAAACATTAGCTGAAAAAGCGTAACGGCTAAAGCTAAAATAAACAACATTTATGAGACCGTTGTCAGATTTCATTGGTGATTTCCAATATGAAATTTAATCTTAAATTTGGCGAACGGTTTTGGAGAATTTGATGTTTCCCCATTCAAAGAGATAGGAGCTGCACTTGCATGC